CCCAGGCCCCACCAAAGCGGCCCCAATCTCTTCCTTCTCTTCTTTTTTAAAATTTATTTTTATTTTTTAAGAGAATGAAATATAATTTAAAAAGACAAAAAGCACACTAGAAACAATACAGAATTTCACTAAAGAAAATAATAGTAATTCAACGATGGTTGTTATATTGCATAATGTTGTCCTCAAATTCGTTGTTTAGATTATCAAATATAAGCATGCATGCAAAATTGGTTTCTAAAAAGTTGTAAAACATTAAAAAAGAGGAGAAAAAAAAATTAAGCACTAGCTGTTTCTCTTTATAGACCAGCAGAATCAGCAGTACAATTATACAAGCTACCCTGCCAGCAAAGTAAAACAAGCTTTTTTTTTTTTTTTTAATGGGGGCAATTCTGGGGATGGAATGTAGGGCTTTTTCACTGAGCCACATCCCTACCCTTTTTATTTTGTGTTTTGAGACTGGGTCTTTAAATGTTAAGTTTCCTGTGCTGGACTTGGACTTGAAGTCCTCCTGCCTCAGCCTCTCAGACAGTGGGATTACCCAGCAAGACTTGGGAGTAGCAAGCTCTGCGAGGCTGGGCTTCTTGATGCATTTAAGAAAAGACAGGGTGATGGGACTCTCAGGGCTGTTCTCCTCTCAGGACAGTAAGAAATAAGCTGGGCTGGGGCTCTGCCCTGGACCATGGCTGCGGTGCGTGGGAAGGGCAGGCAGAGGTTGGGAACTGGGGCCATGCACACACCCACCCTCCAGGGGTGCCGCTTTACCTCAGAAACTGAGCCCCCGTGGGCCCTAGTACAATGATCCTGCTGGCCAGGCCCTCCTCTTCGGCCAAGGGGGGCGGTGTGCTCAGTTTCTGGGGCTTCACCAGGCGGCAGGTGATGCGTGTGGGTGCAGCGCAGGTCCTGGGCGGGATCACCACCCGCAGGCCGTTGTGCCGACTTCCTCTCATGGATCCTCCCCGGGCATCAACCATGAAGCTGACCAGAAAGCTGGAAACAAGGCAAACCCACGTTAGGCACCCACATCTCTTTCAGGGGCAGGGGGCCAGCCCTGGGGCCCTGGCCACTCACCCGGTATGCACAGGACTGGCCACTGGGCTGATGTTGTCTGAGGTCTCTGTGGCTGGGCTACTGGGGATAAGTGAGTCCTCGTCGTACTCCTTAGAGGCCTGAGGAAAGACAGGCCTGTCGGTTACCACCTTGTCACCCTAGGTCTCCTGAACACCATGCTAGCTGCAGAGCCCACGAGAAAGACCCTTGGGGACAAGGCGTGCCTGCGCTGAAAGGCATCATGGCCCCCAGACTTCCACAGCCTCCCCATGGCCACAGACCAGGGCAGAGCTCAGGTGCAGATGGACGGAGCCCTTGCCCTCAGCTGGCTCCAGGTGTCCTGCCTGCTGTCCACCTGTCCATCTGCTTGAGGCCCACTGGGTTTCCCTCCAGAGCTGGCCTGATGTCTCCTAGTGCCCTGCCCTATGGAACTCCAAGGTCCATACGTGAGCTCACAGACCCATGTGGCCTCTGTCTCCTCCTCTGGAGAAGGCACAATAACAGCATAGGTGTAGGGATGCTGGTCCCACTTCCTTTTCTCGCTTACTTTCTCAGGGAGTCATGCTGAGCACAAGCTCTCTCTCCTGTGGGCCCCTGGAAAGGCTTTCTCCCACCATACAATTAAACACTTCTCTATCTACTCATCCTGCCATCTACCACCCTCCCAGCAGGCCTGAGTCCTTCCTCCCAGCTGGCCAGAAGCCCAGTCCTACACCAAGCCCCATGAAGGTATCTAGCAGGAACCCAGGAAGTGACTGCTGATTTGAATGAAGGACATAAGTCAAGGGTTGAATATGCTGGAGTACAACACAAGCCTGGGCTCAATCTCCAGCACCAAGCAACAAAAAATACAGCCAAAAAAGAATGGGCCAGCAGGGAGCAGCAGAGCCCAGACCCCCTTGAGGGCTCTGCTGCTATCTCTGGCAGTACCCAGGGACAAGCCACAGCTGTGCCAGGGCTATCAGTGACACCAGCATCCATCACTGTGGTCCATCCCAGCTCAGGACACTGGGGGGCAGTGAATGGCTGACTCAGTCCTTGCTCTACACCTGGGGCTGGGCTCAGGCTGCTGCTTCTGGATGTGGAAGCTTCAGAACTGAGTCTTAGCTAGAAAAGAGCCAGGTTGGGCTTGGCCACCATGCTCAGGCTGGTGATGCCAACCTACCTCCAGTACCACAGTGCAATGTTCTTTGTCCCTAGAGAATCTCTTTGCTTGAAAAAAAGTGCCAATGGCATACAACAAAACAAAGGGCAGGTTGATTGCAAGAAACTCTCCTTACCTGTTTCTCTGTACAAATGGGGGTGACTCTGAGGACATAAAGCAGGGGATCCCTTTCTGTCCTATTCCCAGAGGGAAGGTGAGACAGAAACTGTCCTCTCTCATGGGCATGAAGGAGAAGGAGCCTGGAGCGCTGTGACTTGCCCAGAGCATCACTGTGGCACCTGTGAGCCACCAGGAGGATTTCTGTCTGGCACAGTGACCCTTTGCCTTCAAGGGCAGAGTCTGGGTACAGGCCTGGGGTGTGAGCGTGGGCTTTGGAGCTAGAGCTGCTGGCATGGTCACCTGGGCTATGGTGACAGCATCGCAACAGCCTTGCTCCTGAGGCTCATAGGGTCTGAGGCCTGGGTTCCCCTCACAGAGCACAGAGTATGGGATCCCATACCAAAGGTGCCTACAGAGGACACAAGCTTTTCCAAGACAGCTTCCCATGCACACCACTAGGAAGGGATGTCCTCCAGATGGGACTTCAGGGGATCTGGGGCTTCTCACCTGCTCTGGCTCCTCTGACCTGATCAGCACTGTCTCTGGGGTCACACATGGGATCCTCGGGATGGCGGGAGATTCCACCCTGTGTATCAAAAGCATGGAAAACTCAAAGGTCGGTGCTGCCAGGAAGCCCACCTCTGCCAAGAGCCCTGAGTGTGAGGCCTCTCTGGGCCTGCTCCATTCACAGCCTCGGCCCCCACTTCACCTAGGATGCCCTTTTCCCTGCCCTAGAGCTGCACAGCCAGGTCGGTAGAGCCCTCACTTTGGCAACAGTGATATTTTATTCTATAACCACTTGGGTTTTTTGTTTTTCTTCTTTTTTCAGTATTAGTGATGGAACCTAGGGCCTTTGCACTGAGCTACATTACCCCCTCCTCTTTTTTTGAAGACAGGGTTTTGCTAAGTCACTAAATTGCCACAAAAGAGTAGAACTTGCCTTCCTCTGGCCTCAGCCTCCCCAGCTTTGGTATGTGTTTTGTTTTGTTTGTGGTACTGGGCCTTCACCCTGAGCTACCTTCTCCACCTTTCTTATTTATTTATTTTTTTTTTTTTATTTTGAGACAAGGTCACACCAAGTTGCTAAGCTCCTGGGCTTGAACTTGTGCTGCCTCAGCCTCCAGAGTGCATTTTGATCCCACCAAATAAATCCATCACATCTTCATGGCCGGGGTCTGAGTTCAGCAAATATGAACTGCCCTGTTCCATGTAAGCCAGCAGATAATTCTGTGTCTCTGGGAAACACCGAGGGCTAAGTGTTACGGGGCGTCAGCTGTGGGCTCCTTTGCAAACCATCCCTGTGTAAATGTCTCCACAGCAGCAGAGCTCACAACTGCCGGGGAGGAAGGGGAAGCAGGCTCGAGAGGATGACAGGCTCTCTGGGCTTTGCCCTTGGATGGAGGGACACACTCAGAGTAGAAACAGCCTGGCAATTTTCTTTCTTTCTTTCTCTTTCTTTCTTTCTTTCTTTCTTTCTTTCTTTCTTTCTTTCTTTCTTTCTTTCTTTCTTTCTTTCTTTCTTCTTTCTTTCT